TGACCTGCCCCCTCACTTGCCTCACCAGTCTTCATGACCTCCTCATGCCCTCATCTTTGACCCTGGCTCTTCTTGCTCTCCAGAATGTTAGAACACTAGGGTGTTATCGTCACCACTGACATATGAAGAAACAAATTGGTCTTGCCTCTTCCCCCTCAAGTCTGGCGTGTAGATCCCTACCCATTTTCTACTTCAGAGGCTGTTAGGCTGGACAGCACAAGCCATTCCCCATATCTCATGACATCTGGCAAGCTAGCCTTGTTGGCATGGGAGGCCAGCTGATCTAACAAGCCTGGGTTGCCTTCTGTGCCTCCAGCTTAGCAACCGACTTTTTGAAGAACTTGCCATGGATGTTTATGATGAGGTGGATAGAAGAGAAAATGATGCTGGTGAGTAGGGGCTGGCATATGAGGCCTAGGTGGAGGGGCCTATGAAGAAGGGTCTCGGGTCTTTTAGTGGAACTAGAAAGAGGTGGGTGGCTGGGGTTGGGGCTTAGAACCCCACTTGCTATTGAGCCCTTAACAGCTGTGAGCTGCCTGGCAGCTCCTCACTGGGCAGAGTGTGCTGAGCTGGAAGGAGCCAGCCCACCCCTGCCCCCACCCTGGACCAGTCTCATTGCTGCTCTGGCTGCCTCCCACTTTGGCTGCCTCCCCAGTCCTGCTCCGCCTCTTTCTGCATCATTCCTTCCCAGCCACGGCCAAGTTCCAGTCCAAACTCTGGGTCGGGTCTGGCAGGGCAAGCCTTGTTCCGCTCCTCAGTTGCCAGTGGCCTCGCCTATCCTTGCCCTGGCCCAGCCTGCTTCTTGTGCTTGAAGATCACCCCTGTGATCACACCAGGTCCACCAGCTTGGTGGGTGTGGGAGGGATAGTGCTTCCCCACCTCCACTCTGAAGGCCCTGCCTTGGCAGATGATCTGTTCCCTTCCCTCTCTGACAGTGTGGCTGGCTACCCAAAACCACAGCACCCTGGTGACGGAGCGTAGTGCTGTGCCCTTTCTGCCAGTTAACCCCGAATACTCGGCCACACGAAATCAGGTAAGAGGGCTGGGTAGGGAACCTAGGTGGACTCTCTTCTTGAGAGTCCTGTTCTTCCTCAGCCTGATGTGGGCAGGCCTAGGTCAGCTCTCCCCTTTGCTGGGGCCTCACTTGGGGCCTGACTGGCCCTCATATCCTGGAAGGGGAAGAGGCCATCTTTTTGTGCAGTTGATGAGCAGCCTGGGGAGATGATTCAGCCTCTATCAAAGGGTCCCCATGTGTTGGCCTGGCCTACCCTTGGGATATGCTGCTGATTAGCCAGGTGAGGTAAGGCTGGAATTTTTCTCGTTGTGGTCAGATCAGATGACAGTGCATTTCCTTGCTGCTTTGCCCTCACCCACATGGGTTTGACATAAGGGCCCTCTTGTCTCATGTTGGCCTGCTCCTTTTTGCCTTACAGGGGCGACAGAAATTGGCCCGCTTTAATGCCCGAGAGTTTGCCACCTTGATCATCGACATTCTCAGTGAGGCCAAGCGGAGACAGCAGGGCAAGAGCCTGAGTAGCCCCACAGGTGGAAGGGCCTGAGTAGGGTTATGGGCATCAAGGTCTGGGATGTTCTCTTCAGTGGCTTCCTTTGCATGAGGGTATGAAAAATAGGTTCTGTGGCTGAGTGAGCCTTGAATAACAGATCTCACGTCCTCAGAGAACCTGGAGCTATCTGCAAGGAGCCAGAGTGACCTTGACGACCAGCACGACTACGACAGTGTGGCCTCCGATGAGGACACAGACCAAGAACCACTACGCAGCACCGGTGCCACTCGGAACAACCGCGCCCGGGTCTGAGCACTGTCCCTACCCATCCCCTTTGGTCTTAGACACAAGTGGGCTGGTCCCACCTTCAAGGGCATCTGCCCCCTACCCTCCTGGCTGATCAGTTTCTGTCTCTGTGCAGAGTATGGACTCCTCAGACCTGTCTGATGGGGCTGTGACGCTTCAGGAGTACCTGGAGCTGAAGAAGGCCCTGGCTACCTCTGAGGCCAAAGTGCAGCAGCTTATGAAGGTCAACAGCAGCTTGAGTGACGAACTTCGGAGGCTGCAGAGGGAGGTGAGGGCCACAGCCTGGGGCTAGGGAGTTCAAGACCCTGGGAGGAAAGGGTGCCTGCCCAGACCCAGAGTTGGATACCACTGTGTGCACCCACAGATCCACAAGCTGCAAGCAGAAAACCTGCAGCTCCGGCAGCCACCAGGGCCTGTGCCCACACCCCCACTCCCCAGTGAACGGGCAGAACACACACCCATGGGGCCTGGTGGGAGCACCCACCGCCGGGACCGCCAGGCCTTCTCCATGTATGAGCCAGGCTCTGCTCTGAAGCCCTTTGGGGGTGCACCTGGGGATGAGCTTACCACGAGGCTACAGCCCTTTCACAGTACTGTGAGTTGCCTGTGGATCTGGGGTGGGGAAACAGGGATGGGCCTGCCATGGGGCCTGTCATGATGTTCAATGTGCTACTCCCACCCACAGGAGCTAGAGGATGATGCCATCTATTCAGTGCATGTCCCTGCTGGCCTTTATCGGGTAAGCTGGACCTGGGAAAGGTGGATCCACTGTCACGAGAAGGTTTTGAGGTCCAGTAGGTGTCTGACTATGCTGGATGCTGGGGCTGCAGTGGACAGACTGACTTTGGTCCTGTTTCTGGGTTTCAGATTCGGAAGGGGGTGTCTGCCTCCGCTGTGCCCTTCACTCCCTCCTCCCCACTGCTATCCTGCTCCCAGGAAGGAAGCCGTCATGCGGTAACATTTCCAGCCCAGTGCTCCTGGGGACAGTGTGGGGCACAGGCTGTGTGCTTCCAGGGATGCACACTCACCTTCAGCCCTTCCCCGTGCCCTTCAGAGCAAGCTTTCCCGCCATGGCAGCGGTGCTGACAGCGACTACGAGAACACACAGAGTGGGGACCCACTGCTTGGGTGAGGTTCCCTCGGGTCTCTACCCAGCCATGCTAGCACCTGGAGGGAGGGAAGGAGGTGGGCGGTGTCCTGGTGTCTGCAAGGCAAGCATCTGCGGCTGGATCAGCTTTCTCTTCTCACACTGGGACTCAGGCTGGAAGGGAAGCGGTTCATAGAGCTGGGCAAGGAGGATGATCTCCACCCTGAGCTGGAAAGCCTGGACGGGGACCTAGATCCTGGGCTCCCCAGCACTGAGGATGTCATCCTGAAGACAGAACAGGTCACCAAGAACATTCAGGAGCTGTTGAGGGCAGCCCAGGAGTTCAAACATGACAGGTATGCGTGTATGGTGTGGGCTTGGATACCAGGGGTGCTGAGGGGCCCCATTCCTCTGTCCCTGGAACCCTTCCTAGAGAGCCCACTCATCTACCCCTCCTCCCCCACAGCTTTGTGCCCTGCTCAGAGAAGATCCATTTGGCTGTGACCGAGATGGCCTCTCTTTTCCCAAAGGTACAGGGGTCAGAGGAGCAGGAGGGCCTCAGGGTGGGGCAGGCATAGGGAATCTGTTACCTGGGTGGAGATAAGCACTTGCTGGGCCGCGTGGCTTAAAGTCCAAAGCCTGGCTTCCTCTCTGCTTCCCTCCCTCCAGAGGCCAGCCCTGGAACCTGTGCGAAGCTCACTTCGGCTGCTCAATGCCAGCGCCTACCGGCTGCAGAGTGAGTGCCGGAAGACAGTGCCCCCAGAGCCTGGTGCCCCTGTGGACTTCCAGCTGCTGACTCAGCAGGTGATCCAGTGCGCCTATGACATCGCCAAGGCTGCCAAGCAACTGGTCACCATTACCACCCGAGAAAAGAAGCAGTGACTGCACTCCCTGCCCTCACCCACACCCTGGGACCTCACTGGCCATGGGATCTGGGCCACTCCAGACACTAACCCACCCCAACAGAGCCACTGGCACAAGTGCCCTTAGCGCTGCCACTCTCCCCTGGCAGCCAGGTGCCCTGGTGCCCACTTCCCTTGAGCCCCAAGGATGGGGAGGTGGGGTGACAGGAGCTTCTGTCCCCCACATTCCATGCACCTCTCCTGTGTACATAGCACCCTTCCCTTTCTGTGTGCAGGGGCCTGCAAGGCATCACTCCTAGCCCCTTGCCTTCAGCAAGGGTTGGATGGGGACACTCCCAATGGGGCTGCTCCCCTATGTGCAGCCTACCCCCTTGAGCCAGTTCAGCCCTATCGGGGGCTGAGTGGGGGCATCTCCCTTTGTACATATCTCTGGATGTCCCCACCCTGTAGCCACCAGCCCTCTTGCTGCTCTCCTCTAATGCCAAACGGCCCCTACCAGTGTGTTGGGGCTCCCAGCAGCAAACACTGGAAAATCTTTTTTTCTCTCTCCTCTCCCCAACCCCTTAATTTTAACTTTGTGATAACTGAGTGTCCCTGCGTGCCTGCGTGTGAGTGTGTGGGCAGCAGTGCCATTCAGGAGGCCTGGCCCATCTGGAGCTTTGAGGGCAAGGGGACTAGCTTTGCAGGGGGGGCGGTCCTTCCTCTCCCCCACCTGGGACCAGAGACTGACAAGGTCACCAGCTGTGGTCTTCATGCTGCCTCTTCTCATCACAGCCCCCACTCATGCCCCTAATATATGAATTTAAAAGGAAAACCACTTCCCTCCATCTCTCCTTTCCCTCCTTTGTAGAGGGAAAAGTGCTGGCCAGGCAGAGGGCTGAGCACCTGGGGCTGGCTCCCCGGGTTCCCCGACTTAGCTGGTGGCTATGAGCCTGAGACCCCCTCCCCATAACCTCTGCAAGGCCAGCACCCACCAATCACTACCTGCACCTAAGGCGGCCCTACCCTCTGGAAGCCTGGGGACCTGACTGCAGCCTGGGAAGGCTGGAGATGTGGACAGCAGCACCCACCAGCTCTTCCTGACCCACCTCTCCCCAAGGGGCCAGCCCCTACCTGTGTGGTGGTGGGTGGACTGTCAAGATGTGTGTCATGTACATTTGTATCAAAAATAAATAAGTGACCATGTGGTGTGTCTGATGCTTACAGAATCGGGAGCTGGGAGGAGTTGAAGGGGCAGATGTGATAGACAAACCAAACGAAGAACGCAAGTGTCCAAACACCCAGTACCAAGAAAAGCCTGTGTTGGGAATAATAAATTGCATATGGGACACCACCATCCCAATAGCATCCCTAAGAAGCCTAAGGTGGTGAGGGGGTGCAGGAACAGATGGTCTAGGCCTAGTGTCCTGGGGGAGCGTGAATTTGTGACATACATACGCTCAACTCCGGACTCTACTAAAATAATTTAATTAGAAACGAGTCTGGGCAAGGGGGATTAGGAACAGCTCCTCTTCCTCTGGCCACTCCTGCAACCCACACGTTAAGGTGGCAGTTTTTGCAAGGTGTAGCAGGGCTGCTCAGTTTGCCGCCAGGGGGCGCCCCTGCATGCAGCCCACGTGGCAGGGGCTGTGGCCGCACAGAAAAGGAGCCCGCCGAGCCAGCGGCAGGACTAGGGCAGGTCAGTCTGAGCTCTCCCCATCTGGGCCGCTGTCTGGCGTGGGGGGAAGCAGGGGCCTCCGGCGGGAGCGCTTGACCCGGCGTGAGGGCATCAGCAGCCTCCGCTTCAGCACAGCTGTGGGCAGGGGGAACCATCAGTGGCATGGAAGCCATTAGGCTGAACTTGGGCAGATAGGCTGGTGGGTGGGAAGCAAAGGTCTCACCAGCTACAGTGTCCTGGCTGTCTGCTGTGGGCCCCCAGTAGATGCTCTCCCCCCGGCGGAAATTTCGATGTAGCCGCGTGC